TGATTCAAGTTTAAGTTTTTGAAACCGCATGAAAAATGTCATGACTTCTGGCCCCGAGCAGCAGTTCTGGACACTTGATGGCCGCCGAGAGTTTTTAATATTTTCATTTATGAAATAACATATGCATAATTCAGTTCAGGTTTTATCGAACACTTCTAAATATTTAATATCAATTTATGACTTACTATTTAATTCTAAAGATAGAAACATCTGTAGCAAGTAGTACATGTTTTATAAAGCTATTACTCTTAGCTTATATCTTACCATATATGTTTGATAATGTTTGATATGTTTGATATATGTTTGATATATGTTTGATATGTTTGATAACTTCACCTTCTGTGAAGTTACTGGATCAGGAAATTAATCTTTGACCAGATTTGTTTATAAAGGGGAACAGTTTGGAAAACCTATTTGACTCTTAAACAAAGAGTTTGCTGTTGTGTTGGCTGGAGAAGAATCTGCAAACAGTGGGTCGTTCACGCCAGTCAGCATATTGAAATGTCAAGAAGCGGTGCAGTGACATGGTGGTCTGCGCGGTCACACAACACAAGAGTTTTTAGGTTGCATTGCCAAAGCGGAGCTGCTAACTGCGATGTTCATACTGCACTGCGCCACGCATTAGTTGGGTCCGGGACCGACGGTATCTTCAAGCTGACATTGTAAAGAAGTAGAAGAAGGTTTAACTAAATGAAGGAAATTTATTTTCCGGTTCATCTGTAAAGCATCTTCCCAGGATCGGGAACCGGGTTAGTATAACCCAGTTTAAGTTTTTTTTTTCTTTCTTCCCTTTAACCCAACAGTTTTTTTGTTGTTGTTTTTTTTAGTACAATCCAGCACGAGAAACTGTAGTTCCCATAAGTATTTCAGCAGTATGCACTCAGCAATCGGAGCTGCACATGACTATAGCCACAGATTGTGTGTCTGATGATGTTATAAAAGCACTCATTTTCTCATTGAATCATTATCATGTTGGGCACGTTGCGTGTTGCAAGGATTTAGTGTGCAGACAAAAGATAATCCGGCGTAATAACCGTGAGAGCTTCCAGTCAGGTGGTGGCCCAGTATGTAAATAATGCTCATCTGGAACAAGTAAATCAAAAGTAACTCCCGACCCCGAGTATATGTGCGTGCGTGGAAGTGTAAGGTTTTAATTATTCATTTTCGGATTAGGGGGAGAAAATGTAAGAGAAAGACTTTCAGCGTCTGAACATCAGCCAGTCTATTTGTGGAGCAGGAAGGTCGGATGTGGCGCCGCTCCACTTTAACCTTCTGTTCTTTTAGGCTGCTGCAATCAGCCGCTGTACAGATGGCGCACTGGCACACTGACATTGGAAACTTTTTCAGGAGATGAACGGTGTTATTCTCTCAAAACCAGCAGACACAGTCTGACCTACATTTATTTGTCTGTCACTGAGAGGTAGCGAAGTCCTTAGCTAGTAACTGATAGACTATTCTTTATTTGTAATTAATCTGTCGGATATGGGGAGAGGATCCCATGTCTGGCATCCCCTCCCATGCCAGATATGACACTTTTGATACATAAATCATTTTGCTGTTGTTGTTCTGAAACCTGAGGCTGCACTGAAGGTTAGCAGAATTGAATTTTTAAGTAAATAACCAATATTTTGCAACTATGAGGCAAAAATAGTGGCTCACATTTATCTTGACAAAAATAAATATAATCTTCACAGCTAAAAAAAACCCAAGAAAACGTTTCCTGTCAGGACAGAATTCAACATCTTTTGAGTGCCAAAATCAAAAACAGACATTAAATCCCATCCGGCCATCTGGAGGTGCTGTTTTAATCCATCTGATTTCTCTGAGCAACACACCTATTAGAAATGAATGGACAATCTCCTGGGAGGTTTTTCTTTCCTTTTTTTTAAAGAGTTCAATTACAGGACAAAGTATCCATGACATGTATCTCTTTTAAATCGCTCACTTTTCTGTCTTGCAACGTCGAAACCAGAAGTTCTCTGGTTTCATCATCCAGCATCACTTAGGAAAGGAAAATGTTTTTCTCTTTGCTTTTATTTCCCATTTGTCCTTCAGAAGGTTTCATTTTTATCTAGTGTGTCTGTAGAGGAACACCTGAACCATGTGTTTAGATTTCCAGATATTTTAACAACAAAAGCAGTAAAAAATGAAATAAGTGGACAGCTCAACTAAAGCCGAGTTCAGCTTATTAACGTATTGATGATGGATCAAAACTGAATGAACATGGAACATGATTCAAACAACAACAATACAAACAGATTCATGCACTGTCTTATGTCTGCGTCATAACTGATTTCAGCGTCTTACTGTCATCCTTCCTCATGGATCATAAGTTATGTTCCAGCTCGGACAGACTGTAAATGCAACGATGTTTCCTGTGTCTGCGCTGTCTTCCTCCTGTGAAATCTGTTCAGACTGGATGACGATACATTGAAAGTCCACACTGGAGTTTTCTAAAAGACACATGTCCAACAGAGCGTTCACTAAAGCCACCAAAAGATCTGTTATCCAGCCCAGCTTGTTTACGATTGTGGGTAAAAACTTTAATCTGTTGGATCTCTGCAGAATCTGTTTCCTCTTACAGCAGAACAACAACACTTGTGAGCAATAAAATCCTGATTCTGTTTAAACACACAAAAACTTTGCAAGGTACCATTAATAATATATATATGCTTATCTTATAAACCAATCAAATGTTTTGTAAAGGTGACACTTTTTATCTTTTTTTAGGAAGCTGCTAGATTTGTAAGAAGTTTTGGAAAGGTCAATTGCTGGTGTTTTTGTCATTTGTTTTCAACCCGTACATTATTGTGAATTGCATAATTTCTCAATGTTTGATGGAAACCTGCACCACTGCATGCAGAGGTCACAATATTCTTCACAAGTGAAGCAAAGCAGTGTGGTTAGAAAATGACAATTTCTCCAGTTTCCAAGACAAATGTGTGGATGAGGGATTTTGTAAATTGTAGAACGAGAAGTTCAATAAACAACTTGTTGGGCTAAATAATCTCATAACCAACAGTTTAGCGGTGAAGACACTGTGACCTGTAGCACAATAGACAGACGTGAAGACTAATCCGTATTCCTAAATCCTGCAGCATAAATTAGGGGGCCGAGGTCATGGCCCAAATATTTATGGATTTACAAAACAAACACTCTGATGTTCTATTTCAGCACACTTCTGAGCTTTGTCTGTGTTATCCTCTTCTCTCTTGCACAGTCAGCAGGATCCAACTGCATAAAAAAATAAGAATGTTTTTCCTGCAGCTGCAAACCACCTGCTAGGGAGAAAAAAGAAAAAAACCAGCATAATGACACACTTCCTGAGAAATCCCTTTAAATCTTCAAATGCCTGTTTTCACTGTGACCTGCTGTTCAGGGCTTTGGCTGTGAGTACTTTGTAATTCTGCTATGGATCCGATGTTTTAGCTCGAAGACACAACTCTCCTAAAAGTAGAACTTTATATGAGTTCAGGGGGAAGTTTAAAGAATTTAGATTTTTTTTTTTTTTGAATAACAACTTTTTTGCGTTTTCAAAAGCAAAAATATGTTGAAGCAGTTCCACTCTGAAGTTTAATTTTTGTGCACTCGACCCACCTCTAGGTAATACTCCAAAAATTCCACTTAGTCTCATAGATGCTCTTTCTCTCTAAAATTTGGAGTAGATCTGGGGCTGAAAGCATCTCATCGCTTCAAAAATCAAGTGCTTCACAGGCACTGGATTTTTTTTTATTCATTTTTTATTTTTTTAAACTAACTCCAATGATTATTCTCTGACATCCTGACGCTCTGAGACAAGCCTGGCTAATTAAAATGATTAAGAAATGCAAATCAGAGTCACTTAGTGCGAACCGAAGATGGCATCAGAAAGTGGGGAAACCACCAGATGTATTAAATAAGAGGAGATCAAAGATATAAAGTTTGACAGTCAGACGGATGGAACGGCTCACAGGACCCGCTTTTATGACCCCCCGTCATCATCTAGTCTTTTCTCAGCTAAGATATTGAAAGACTTTCTCTGCGTTATGTACCATCACTCAACGATTTACAAAAGCACCAGCTGTCAGAACAATATTTCAGAGTCTGCAAACATTTAAATGACGTGACAAACAGGTAAACAACCTCCAGTGTTTCGCCGCAGCCTGAGGTTGCGCAGAGTTTAATTAGTTGCAGAGGGGGGGCCGGGTGCTTTACTTTATTAATCATTTCTTGTCCTACTTGCTTTGAATCAAGTGATTAGTTAAGAGCAAACTTAATGAGCTGTCAGCTTTCATTAATGATGGAGGACATTAACCAGCGCAGTGTGAATCTGAAGCTCTCTTTGTACTAACTCGGCACCGGAATCAAAATCAGGTGTCTTCTTTTCCTGTTTCAGCTTCCAAAGGTCACCCTACAAATTGCTCTGGAATGAATTACATCCTTCTCACATTACACGCAATAAATCACCTTAATTCAAATCCACTGACATTATGACTCCCCGACGTGGGAGAGCGCGACTATTTAAAAGTCAGTTCGAGTCGATCTAATGAGACGTCTGCGTCGTTTTGTGTGCATCGCTTCTTTTTCACCGGGAGGAAATTCCAAGATGTGTTTTGAATAAATTCATCATAACCTTGGCGCAGATACAGTATTAATGACGGCCTGGTTTTCCTTTTTCCTCCGTTGTTTCCTTGAATTCAACATTTTGGTACCATCGCGATGAAAAATGTGTGCAGTGCAATCTGCTCTGAAAAGAAAAACAAAATAATTTAAAGATAACATAAAGACGTGTAATCTCATTATTTTGCCTTCATGTTTAACTTTTGTTTCTTTCTCAAAGAAGTGATTGGATGGGAGGTGAAATGTCAGTGAACATGACAAACATGGATTTCTTCAAGGCCAAACTGGCTGCAGAAAAAGATGTGGAGGCTAAAGTTCACTGGAGAGAGCTAGAAGAAGATCGCTTCGTTTGTTTTAAATGAAAAGGAGATTCTCAAGCAGAATTGTGGCCCCTAAACATTTTTAGCAGTAATTGTAGCACAACACCCCCCCCCCACCCCCTCCCCAAAAAGACAAAAACAAAATAAGAATCTCCAAAACAATGAATACAAATCCACAAAGAATTATATTTGTAAAAAGAATTAACTGCATCATCATCATGTGTTTGTTTGTTTCGGTCTATCACAAATAGTCCAGATAAAAACACAATAGCATCTACGACTGCACCATGAATAAATCTGCAAAAGTTGATCAAGTATGAATATTTTCTGCAAAGCGTTGCACAAGAAAACATTACCTTTGTGCCAACTGAAAAACGTTTGCCTCAGAGCCAGGGGAAATCAAACCGGAAGCGTTGCAGAAGGACGTTCTGGCACTCAAACTCTCTGCTCTTATTTGAAAGCTCATAGAAACAGCATGCAGACTCTGGGAGGCTGATGTTTTCTCCTGCAGTGCAACAGAAACCATATTCTTTGGGATTTTGTGATAGCATATGCGCCTCTCATCTCGTCTGTTATCTCTGATCATATTACGATTGCAACTGGATTCTTCTAAAACACTTTAGGCATCCAACTCTGCTTTTAATTCAGAAAATAATACAGAATCCCCGCAGGATAAACGTGCCACATAGCGCAGCATGCAAAAAGACTGTTGTAAAGAAAATAATGTGGCGTTGCAGACTTTCTCGTGCCGTGAAAGACTGAGGTTTGGAAGTCGGTGAATCCCTGCACGGAGAGGGCAGCTGTGCTGACTGTGAGGAACCGTCATGAGCTCGACCGGCTCGTCGGCACCATGATCCCCCCTCCTCCTGGTTCCATGATGGTAATGATGCTCTGCTGCCTGGCTGCTCTGTCCTTGCTGCACTGTACAAGGTCAGTCAGGCATGAACTGGAGAGTGCTGCCCGCCCTCCGACCGCCATCACCAACCCTGCACAAGATGCACCCGCGGAGAGCCGGGATGGTGGTAAGTGATGCTTATCTCATCATTATTTGTGTGTTTGTATCTCTGCAGAAGAAGAAAGAGAGAGAGAGAGAGAGAGAGAGAGAGAGAGAGAGAGAGAAACAGAAAGAGAGAGAGAGAGAGAGAGGGAGTGATGCCTACAGGGGTTCAGTCTGTCTGTTGTAGCTTATTGGAAGGTGAATCCTTATGTGTCAGAGGCTTTCACCTCTACAGAAAGCATGGGCTTAGTGGAACAACTAAAATGTTGTGGAGTTTTATATTTTTGCCTGTAAGACAGAGTTTTATCAAAGTTGCTCTACTCTGGAGAGTGAAGCCACCTATGGAGGCCTGTTAACAGCCAACAACAAGCCTGGAATTTTATTTCTTTCTGATTGTGTATTCATGCCAGCTTAAATCAGCCCCTATTGGTAATTGCTGCATAATAATTTCATCTCTCTCACGTCATTTCTGCTGAACACAGCAGCAGAAATACTCTGCACTTTTTAATAATTTATTTATTAAAGGTGTCGAAAAATATGGCAGTTTTTTGTTTGTTTTGTGTTGTTTTTTTTCTACCTTGAAATTGATTTGAATTGTTTAAAAACCACACAAAAGGTAATAAATTTACAGTAAGTCTGTAATACATTTACAGTAAGAAAGTAAAAACATTAAAGCAAGGATTCTTCAGACAGGAAGAAACGGTGCACTGCAAAAACACAAAAAAAATTCCTAGTGTTTTTGTTTACCCTGAAATGCAAATATTGTAGTGCACAAGAAGTAAGACAAAAATAACTAAAAGGTAACTTTCAGCAAGATAAATAAGTCTGTTTTAAGTCAATAGTTTTCGAAGATAAATAAATACTATATTATCAATCAAGGCTCGAGTTAAAAAGAAGAAATTCTGCGAAGCCATTGGTTCTTGACTTACTGGTACTGACAGTGGACATCTTGGAGTTCTCCATTATCAGTAACAACTTCCACACAGAAGAGTGTTGTGGTGTGCTTCGGTCTGGTTCAGTGACTGCAAAAAGACACGATTTTTGAGTTTCCATCCAGCTGGTCACCGGTCGGGGTCGGTCGAGTTGGAATTACCACCGAATTCTTCTGTGAAGACATGCGAGTAAAATAAACCAAAAGAAAAAAGTTTCAATCAAAATGAATGACAGCTGAGAGATTTTCAAATATAGCAGCCGAGTGGAGGCTTCTTCTTTCCTTCGGCAGTTTCGTCTTGTTATGAAACACCCACATTTTCAGACAGTTACCCTGTCTCAATATTTGCTGAAAGATGTCCAAAGCACAGAAGCTCAGAGCACCGCAGAGACCAGAAGAGAAAGCAGGTTTTTCAGGGCACAACAGGCTTCATAATGGAGCTGCAGTTAGAAGAACCCTGAAGCCAAATCTCGGTTGTCATTAGGAGCAGACGACGGCAGAGATCTTGGACCTTATATCCTCAACAACACAGCCGAAATTCTCATATCTTCATTAGAAAAAGAAGAAAAGCTCCCCTAAACCTCTTCTGCTGGGTAGCAGAGTTCAAACAATGAGTTCTCTGGTCAGTTAAGCAGAGAAAGCTCAGAGGAGTTTTACTATGAAGACGCTGAAACTTGCCTCAAGACGCTGATGTGGGAGGTCGGCATGCAAGAGGTCAATGCTGCTTTGCAAAACCAGCTCTTCTTCCTCATGGAATGCCAGTAAAAAATGTTAAAATGGTACAATATGTGCTCACATATACAGCAATTTACAAAAATTTGCATTTACAGATATGCATTGTGGCAGTGCTGCCACCCACAAGAAAGAATATGTCGCGTCATCCCAAATGCACCTCTTCCGTCAGTAACAGAGAGGAGCGGTGAAGTTATTGCCAGCTTACGTGAACAAAATACATATTTTGTCCCATTATGCACAGAAAAATAAAATATGGTTCACTATGTTGTTTGCTTTGTTGCAAAGTCCAGTGAGCATGATGAAAAAGTTTACGCTTTCCAGCAGGAAGACATAAGTGATGTTTTTCTTGAACGGCCACCGATTTCTGCCTTACGATTACCTGCTGATGTCACAGCTGAGTCGCTGAGTCAGACCATATGGAGGAATGAAAAATGTTTAAAAGCTGAATTTATCAGTAAAGCAAAAGAGCTCCAGAGTGCAGGGCCTGCTGCTAAAGCAGAGCACCGGGAGCCCACAGATAAACTCTGACGCAGAGTCAGAAATTCACATCTGACCTTTAATCAGCAGTGACTCAGAGAGTCACTGCTCTGAGTCAGAAAACACCCGTTACGAAAAGAAAAACTTTCTTTACATCTTTCAAGTCGGAGAATTTGTCTGCAAAGTCCAGTGCAGTAACTTGGGTTTTTTATAAAGGTTTTCATGCCGATGTCATTTCACATCCACAAACTTCAGTTTACTTTAACAAGATTTAAATGGTGAGACTGAATAACAGCGCAACAAAAAAGCCCTATCATCATATCATGATGGGGCCTTTTTCTTTTTTTCTTTATTCGGCAGGAACAGAGAAACAGATTCGAGTTGATGGAAATAAGAACATGTTAATTCCAAAATAACATTTAGAAAAATAATCCAGACGTCGTACGCCATCTGTTGTAGTGCATGAAGAGGTGAGACGAGCTTCATGCATCGTTCAGCAGAGCCACATTGTTTTTAAAAGTTGGTTTTGAGGAGAAGAGCTTTTAGGCAGTTTAGATAGCAGCAATAAACAAAACCTCTTTAAAGAACCAGTGATGCGACAAAAGGGAAACTGTGTTCGAAGAACACCAGAATGTTTTGACAACTAATGGCTTCATGCATTGATAAAAGATGTATTTAATAGTGAAGTTTTTATTTTTCCTGGAAGCTGTGAGGGCATTTTCCTACCTGATTCCAAGATATGAGACAGGAGAAAAAAAAAAACACACACACACATCAGAAAGAAAATCAAAGTCGAGTCAACATAAGATTTTGGAACCATAATCTGTCAGATTAGTGTTGGATCCGTTAGGGATGAAAAGCTTCTTTGTAGTGCAGACAAAACTAGAGATCATTTTATCAGTTTGTATCAAGAAAAATAAATAAATAAGAGAGTGTAAAAGTTTCATAGTGGATTTTTATCATTTAATAATGCAATACTCTTGAGCTGAGAAGTGGATGTTTTAGATTTAATTCATGCTTTTCATCCTTTCGAAAAGCAAAAACAATGGTTCTTCTTTTTAAGCGGTTTCAAAACTGATATGATGACGACTTTTCAGTGAACCTAAATTGAAAATAGCATTTTTCACCCCCTCATGTGTGGTGGAAGGGGATAGGACTTTCTGATGGTCGTAGTAGCAGTGAAGTAAAACCCACCCAGCAGTATTTTCCATGCATCTTTTCCTGCTATTTGGAGGAAACCAATTTATCCCACATCCTGAGAGAATCTGTTAAGAACATGCATGAGAGCAGTAATTAAAGAAGCACAGCATTACTCCACAGCGCATCATATTCAAAATACAGTATAGCGTTCTTCACTGCAGATCGACAGCATCATAATTACGTACCCACCTGCAATCTTCTGTGAATTTGTCCCTAAATTACCCACCAACTCATGCATCTTAGGAAAGGACTCTTCCAGAGTAGGATGCTAGAAGAGAGATAGGACAGACAAAACCAATTACTCTTCGCATCACTTCTGCCTGCTTGCCAGTGTGGGAAACGTGAACTGCGGTCCCAACCCACTGAATGCGATCTGGAGTTAAATTTGAAGCCATGGTGATGATGATGATGATGATGATGATGATGGGCCAAAATTCAGAGCGTAAACTCAGCCGGCATCGTCGTGGCACGGTGGACAGCACATGCATCTGTGTGGAAGCGAGAGCGTCAGCTCTTAAGGAAATGGGCTTTAAAACGTTGAGTACACCCCACTGTGGGAGCAAACTGTGAACGCTATCCGATGCCATGCTTGTCTGCTTCTGTTCAGATCAGCTCCTCCCCTGGCTCCTGCCAGCTGGTGGTTAGTAGCCCGGAACCCCTTTAAGAGCTGGAGACCCTCCAGAAAGCTGCCTGGTAATCTTTTGTTTTTTTTCCCCCCAGTTTCTCCTCATTACTTGATGTCTTCATAGGAAAGAGAACGCTTCTCTACCGACACCAGTTCTTCCACAACCGTCACATCCAGTGTAGATGTTTATTTTCTTGATTTTATTTCAAGGCACTAGTGTAAAAGGGGGTTGAACACACATTTCAGATTTGTCCTCCATTTTATAAACACTTTGTGTTGGTTTGTCATGGAAAATCCCAATACAACACGTTGAAGTAATCAGGCTGTAAAGTGACAGAATGTGCCTCAGGAGTACCTGAGGCTCAGCGACTTCATGTTAAGAGCTCTGACTTTTCTGCTAATGGGGCCCAAACACATGACGGGTCGCGGTCAAAACTGGTAGAAATTCAAATATTTTTGTGTCCTTCAAAACTTTGCTTTCAAACTTCTCCCAACCAAACTGATGGGAGGCTCAAATAAATTGATAGAAATAAATCATGCTTCCCCTCACAATGTCAAAAACGCACCAAAGCAACTTTTCTAATAGCATTTCTACTGTGATGCGGTGATAAACAACATGCATCATCGACCCTGTTGATGGGACTGTTCATCACTTTCCGCCAACATTTCACAATTTCTTACCATGACATTTAAATAGTCATCACTGCGTGCATTATTCAGTTATAAAAGTGATGTTTGCTTATGCTGCTTGATTAAAATGTGACTCAAAAACACGCAGCCACATTGAGTTGCAGAAGGTTATTTGTTGTTGACCTACGTCTTGACAATCATAATTTTAGACAATATTTTTTTTAATTAAGTTCTCCAAATCAGTTTGGTAACTGATTTGGAGAAACATTAGTTTCTCAAGAAAACTGAGCATTTATTCAATTTCAGATTACTCAGCAAATTTATGAAAATAAAAATTCAGACACTTCTTTCTTTAAGCAACCCGATGTTCTTGGTTCCTCCTTTCTGTAGAAAAGTCTCATACGTTTTCCTTCATGTTTTACTTTGGAAGTGAATACGCAATGTCTATGTGTCTATTACAAAATTTGGATGACCTCGTGAATTTTTAACAAGAAACAGAAGCCGATCATTTACCTCATTTATTAAGAAAGAAATAGAAATAGTTTTGTAATACTGTAGTTTTCTTGAAAATCCTAGTCCTACAAAACATACAAACAGTATACATTTCAGCTTCATTAAGAAAAACAATCAAATAAATATATAAAAACATTTCCCTCTTAAACTCTCATATCTTGCCCCGGTTCTTTCCATAATTAATGTTGCTCGTCAGCTCAGAAGCTCTCTGTCTTTGTGACATCTGCCGCTTTCTCGTTCTCGGGCTTGATGGACAGGACCAGTTCCATCTCCTGGCCAGGTGAAGGCTCTGGCATTTTGTTGATTTTAGCGAAGCTCTGGCTGATGTCCATAAAGGTTTTGTTTTTGGTTTCTGGGAGGACAGCGCAGAGGTAGATGGATCCCAGGGTGCAGACCACCACAAACACCAGGAAGGCAAATGACTGCAGCTTTTCCTGGAGAAACAGAAAAAAATATTTTTAGATGATTTTAGCTCACAGAACCTGAAACTGCTTGACTGTTTATGCTCTTATCAGCTCCACAAAGATTATGTTGGTTATCATGAACACCAATTTAGTGGTCTGATGTTCCAAGCTTTGGAAAACCTAAAAAGTAAATTCACATTTGAAATGACATCAGACTTCCCAGCACTATTAGGACACTCAGAGATGCTTTACAGTGAAATCAGTCATTCCCACTCATGAACACTTTCACACACTGATGATGGATTGTAGCCACAGATGCCTGTGGCAGTCTGTCACAAGCGAAGCACCCATATACCGATGGGAAGTTGAACTCCGATCATGATGGCTACCTCGACCCTTTGTTTTTTGCCGATTGTTAAACAATGCATAAAAGCCAGAGGAGGATCAGTGGTTTTTAATTTGGAAAGATAAACTAGATCCTTGTGGGGGTGGTCCACATGTGTTTAGTGGATCTGGAGAATGCAAGATTACCGTGTCTTTTTAGGAATATTGTGGAGGATCCATGGGTGCGGCTGCTTTCCAGTCCAAGCAGGAGCTAAACTTGTGCACAAAGCTAAACTTGTTCCCAGTTTGTGTTGGACTCCATCAGGGTTGCTTCCTGTCTCCTGTCTTGTTTGTGGCGCTGATAGACAGAATCTCAAGTTCGAGTGGTGGAGAGGAGGGTTTCCGGCTTCTTTGATGCCATCAAAGAAATGTGTAGATGACGTTGTTTTCAGACTGTGACCTTTTGTCGTGAAATGGTTTGCCGCCAACTGTGATGTTGCAGGTGAATTTGTTCTGTCATAGTCGGGAGACAGTTTCATACTTAATAGAGTACAGTCTGCCTCTCCAGTAATGGTGGGACAAAGCGGACATATTATGGTAAAGAAACAACTTACACAAAAATCTAAGCTATTGCTTTATTTATTCATCCACATTTTGACCCTTGACTTGGGGTCACGGGATACAGAACATGACCTAAAGAATAAACTGACTGAAATAAGCTTCCTCTTTCAGACAGCTGGACCCAGCCACCTATGAGGGTTTGATCAGCCGATGTTATTTGGAAAAAAGTCATTCAGATAAAGAGATTGCTTCCTGAAATTTGCAAAAAAAAAAAAAAAAACCCCGCAATCTTACCAAGTATTTTTTGTCCAGTTTTCTGGGACACAGAAAACTGGACAAAAAAAATAATCTCACCCCCTGAGATGATTGACGTCCAGAGGACGTCAATCATCTCAGGGGGAGTTTGAAGTAGCTCTTCGACATCTTACAGAGTCCTTTCATGTGTTTCAGGCATCGCACCAGAATGCCTTCTCGGAAACCCCCTTTCGAGGTTTTCCACACACCGGAAGGAAACCCTGGGGTAGACCCAGAGCTTGCTTGAGGCACTTTATAAAACTTCTGGCCTGAGCACGGGGTGGGATGAACTGCATAGTGTTGCTCCAACAAGTGAAAGACGATGCACTGACAGAGGAAACACAAAAGCTTCACATAAACACGCACACGAGTAAAAGACCAACTCTTACATTTTTGACATACCAGAGCAACATTAATCCAAATGACGTTTTCTTGCCCTGCTTCATAAGTATTTTTAATAGCAATGATAAAAAGTCAGGTGTATTTTTATGTGAAGATATGTTTAAATAATCAAACTACCCAATCGAACCTTGTCCAGAGTAATTCGCCAATAACACAGATTAGTGCCAGATTTAAAATTTACACAGTCACTGATTGCCCAGAGAGATTTAGAAACAGAGAGGATTTTATGTGTGTGTTTGGATGAGAGGTTTTGGGAGGGAGGGAGGTAATGCCACAGGGATTTTAGATGAGGCAGAGCAACTCGACTGACTCTCAGCAGTGTTTCGCCAAGCTGTAATCCCTTTTCTCATACAGAAAACAGCCCTCAAATGGTGCAATCAACCCGATAATAGAGATCCAATGTCCGCAGAACCCTAGAACCTACTTACTGCTTTTCAGAATTAATACAATTTCTGTCCATTTTTTTTGTTGTTGTTGTCTTTTTTCAGTGTAGTTATTGACAACATAAAGGGAACTTGTGAAGGACCTGATCCAGCTGTCCTCAAGGAGGACAAACAGAGCACTTTCCTGTCCATGATGGTCATCATAATTTGAAAGCCCGGCAGAGGGAGGAGAATTAGGCAGACGTTTTGGGTGAACCTTTGATCTGTTGCAGTGAGACAGCTGGGCTCAATTGAGGCACATGCACAAAATAATTAACCAGGGATGTAAGTATCCATCAGATGCTACACTTACACATTTGTGAAAATCTCTCAATGTATAATCAGGAGTGATGTAACTTGATGAGGAGTTTCATCAGGATGTTTTCGCAGAAAGTTTGCAGTGGCTTTAAAATGTTACTGTGACAAAAACCGTAACATCGTCAATCCTGTGGTCAAAAGTTTCTCTGAATTTCTTGCCGTGACGTGCTTGAGAAAATAAAACAAGGCTGCTTAAGTGTCAACATAACAACGCAGACCTTGATTTTTAAACATGCATTGTGCCAATTTGTATTGTTTTTGGGGGTGTTTTTCTTGTCCCACCTGTGCTGCAGAATAATCATAACTACTTCACATTATTAAGAAATATTAGCACCTTCTCACGTTTTGTCACATTACCGAAAATTTTGATACCTTTTTGTGGATTTGTTGTGATAAACTAATAATATGTACATGATTGTGAAATGGAAGAAAAATTGCTTCCCTTTTTGGTTAATTTAAAACCTTTTGGTAGTTTTTTTTTTTTTTTTTTTTTTTGGTGCTACTTGTCTTTGTGTTCTTTTTTTAAATCTAAATTCTGCTGTTAGGTGATACATTAAGATAAATGCAACATCCATCATCATGGATGACTGATGGATTCATGTCAGAAACTACACATTTATTACTTTTAACACAGTCAGCTGATGATTACATTGGTAGCTGGTAACTAAACTTAGCACTCGCTTAAGTCAAACATTCAAGTATTTTTTGGTAACTACCAGTTCTACCCTAACGTCGTCTTTTTCTGGTAATTCACAGGAAGTCAAACAACGAAACTTCACAACCAGGACAACTCATGTCTTGTATCTCAAGAAAACCCTTATTATAAAAGTCTTTGGAAGAAGATCAGGCTCTCAGGCAACAACGTGGCAAAACAAATGAAGAAGTCATTTGTTTTGACTTCTTCATTTTATTCTGAAGGAGAATAAAAGAGATCACAGAAGTAAGGAGGAATGTAAGGAGACTGTATCACTGCAGGAGAAGACAGAACTTAAATCTTCTCTACAGACATCCACCTAATGATGACGTTTAAAAATGACCTTGTCTACTACGTGTCCATGCTTGAAAATTTACAGTCACAAGTTTCTGGGGCAACAGTGACTCATCCTCGGCGGATAGCAGCTCTGCGCTGCAGTGGAAGTCAGAATGGAGTTGTGTGTTTGCGTGGGTGGGTGCTTGTTTGTGTCTGCGGGTGTGTGTGTGTGTGAGTGTCTTGTCTATTTCCATCCATAGCCCTGAACACTACCTCAGATAAACAGATCAGATGGAAATACACAAGATTAAAACACCAGCATCCAGACAAGCTCATCCACTATTTTTATGGATTATCAAATAATTATTTCAAACTGCATACATGATGACAAATCAAACATTTCGTCCTTGGATCATAGTTATGGCAATTCTGACTCCTCACAAACTCATGAATCTTACAAAATACCCATGAAACCTTGAATGCCCCTTAGTGTAAGAGCATTTCATTACAGTCTAATCTAATGTGGAGATGATTTATTAAAGTCTTCATTTAGTCTAATGTTAGAAGGTAACTGTTCATCTCCTGTCATTCATGAACTGAAGCTTTTTCTCCTCACTAGCATTTGTGCTGTGAACCAACGTTTTCACCAAAACTTTAAGTTTTTAAGTCCAGACTCTCTCGGCTCTCCTGCCCATTTCAGCCAACCAGCTGGCATGTTAGACATTTACAACAATATATAAAGATAACATGCTGCTTGTTTTCTAATGCGTTCCCATTACTATCGACTTCTATGCCAATATTGTGTTTCTGTGTTGTGAGGCCAACCATCTTATTTCCTCTGTTAAAGTAGCTCAGAAATGATCAATTTCAATCTTTATTGTTCGTTTTATTTAAAATTCTCGATGTGAAGCTGCTTTCGTCCTCCAAAAGGATTACGTGTGTGCATTCTTTGTTTTATAAAAGTGCAAATATGATGTTTTTTTTTCAGTGAAAGATGCTCAGGCAGCTCTACTGAACTCACTGTGACATTAATTCTCATTTCTACAATCAGAAGCCCATAGAACTAAATATCTGACATTTAAACATGGCAAACCTTCAAAATGCTGAGTAAAAATTTCCATATGTCCACCTGACATAACATATCTGTGTTGCATTGATTCATTTTGAATGTCCCAGCTTAATCCTGCCCAGAAATTTAAATTACATTTTACAAATAAAACTTTAGAAGGCATCTTCTTCAATTTTTACCCATTATTTACAATTCTTGAGTTTGTCAATATTGAAAAAACTCATATCAAGCAATAATATGTCCAAATAGGTTTATAAAATGATTTGCCTCACAGTCACCTGTATTTCTATTGCAGTGAAAAGTAGCAGTCACATCACAGACTGCATTGAGTATAATCCGATTGTATACAGACAGAAATAGTTTTACCACTGACACGTGTTTCTCGCGTTTGTTAAAAATGTACTGCTCTTTTCTTTTCTTTGTTTTTACAGTCCTAAGTAACAGCAGCGTGGTCCCCTGTGAGGTGTTTGTAGTGTTGACTAGTTCATTTTCATGATTGATGCCTCGCCTCTTGTGCACTGAACTACAATTTGTAACGCTTGCAAAGCCACACATTTAGCTCAGTTCTGGTCCAGTAATCCACCACAGCACAAAGGGCCATCACCTCCATCTTGAGGAAAAAAGAAAAGTGCTCCGCTTGCCTGGTGTTTATATTCTAATTTATATAACG